ATAATACTGTTCTCCATAAAAGGAGGAGGAAAATGATTATCAGGGGTGACACTAATCAACATGGATATGTTAAATGGGTATGTTAAATTTAAACCCTGTTTTACATCTATTTGAAGGTGAAAATTAAAATGTAGAAAAAGAATATATATATATATATATGTATATATGTATGTGTGTGTGTATATATATATATATATATATGAAGTTTTGCCAACCAGGCACCGGTGGCTCATGCTTGTAATCCTAGCTACTCAGGAGGCTGAGATCTGAGGATCCAAGTTGAAAGCCAACCCTGGCAGGGAAGTCCATGAGATTCTTATCTCCAACTAAGGATCAGAAAACTGGAAGTGGTGCTGTGGCTCAATGTGGTAGAGCACTAGCCTTTAGCAAAAGAACTCAGGGATAGCACCCACGCCTTGAGTTCAAGCCCCATGGCCAATGAAAAGGAATGAAAAAAGAAAAGCTGGGAAGGTGGCTCAGTGGTAGAGTGCATGCCTCCCATGCATGAGGCCCTGGATTTGATTCCTTAGCACCACATAAACAGAAAAGGCTAGGGGCTGGGAAGGTGGCTCTGGTAGAGCACTTGCCTTGCATGCATGAGGCCTTGGGTTCGATTCCTCAGCACCACATAAGCAAAAAGAAAAAAGCTGGAAGTGGCGCTGTGGCTCAAGTGGTAGAGCGCTAGCCTTGAGCTGAAGAGCTGAGGGACAGCGCCCAGGCTCAGAGTTCAGGCCCCACAACCAGATTCCCCCCCCTCCCCCCCCCCCCCCCCCCCCCGCCAAAAAAAAAACCCAGAAAAAGCTGAAAAACAGACAGCGCCCAGGCCCAGAATTCAAGCCCCAAGACCAACAACAACAACAACAAAAAAGTTTTGCCAGGCTAGAATATTTCACCTGTAACTCTAGCTACTCTAAGGATTTATTTACTGCTGAAATCTGAGGATCTGAGTTTGAAGCCAGCTCAGGAAGACAATTCAATTCTGGGATACTCTCATCTCCAATTAACCAACAAAATCTGGAAGTGAAGGTATTGCTCAAGTGGCAGAGTTTCAGCTTTGAACAAAAACACTACGGGAGAGCTTGAGACCCTGAGTTCAAGCCCCAGTACTGGTGTTGAAAAAAGGTTTTTATTGGCATATAATTACATATGCTTGTTTAAAAAAGAAAAATAAAAGTAGAACTCAAATACTTCTAAAGTTTTAATTTCTGGATTTTATTTTTTTTAAGGTAACAGGAACTTATTGGGTAATTCTCTACTGGTATGCAGGATCTAAAGTTTATAATTCCTATCAAGTAATAAAACTAGGAAAATTACTTATTGTGGAACAAAAAATAATTTTAAGCAAGTTTAAAGACATCCTTCTGGGGCTGGGAAGGTGGCTCAGTGGTAAAGCGCTTGCCTTGCATGCCTGAGGCCCTGGGTTCGATTCCTCAGCACCACATAAGCAAAAAGAAAAAAGCCGGAAGTGGCACTGTGGCTCAAGTGGTAGAGTGCTAGCCTTGAGCTGAAGAGCTGAGGGACAGTGCCCAGGCCCAGAGTTCAGGCCCCACTACCAGACCCAAAAAAAAAAAAAAGACATCTTTCTACCAAGATTTTACTGATGATTTCTGTCACTTTACAATCTCACATATCCAGCAGTCTGCTACTGGCAGTTTTACTTGGGAATATTAGTCTTGGCTTGACAACCAGTGAGAGCAAATCCCACTTCATAGTTACACTAAAGGAAAACCAACTGTGTGGGACAAAGTACAAAGAAACAGACTATATGGAATCCCAACAACTGTGGCAAGTTCATTATTCCTTCAAAATAATCCAGGAGTCTGCTCAGTAGGTTTCAACACAGTGAAATATTTTCACCATAAATCTATATGCACTTTTAGTTTAAAGAAATCCTCATGAAGTAAAAGTCTTAATGTTTCTTAGTAATAGACCTCTACCCTTTTGCTCACATAATTTGCTCATTCTTTTCTATATGCCTTTCTTACCCATGTTCTATCTAAAATGGCTTTCTTATAATTTGTCAATACATGTTTTTCATAATCCAATTCATGATATTAATCTACCAAGTTAGCCTTGACACATTTTCCCTCAAATAATCATTGTACTGCTTTGCATAAACAGTATAATAATGATAGCTTTATTAGAATATCCACAACTTGCCTTTTTTCTTTTTTAATGCCAGTACTGGGACTTGAACTCAAAGATTAGAGTTTTCACTTGGCATTTTCATTTAAGACTGGTTGGTGCTCCAGGGGTTGGAAGCATGGCTCAGGTCATAGAGCGAAAATGTCAGATACCTAGTCCAAGTCTGGTATTAGACAAAAAAAAAAAAAGAAAAAAAGAAAAAAAATTTAAAAAGACTGGTCCTCTATCTCTTCAGCCACACCTCTACTTCTGGCATTTTCCTAGTTCATTGGAGATCCAATTCTCATGGACCTTTTCACCTTTGTTAGCTTTGAACTACACGTTCCTTAGATTTCAGCCTCCTGAGGGTAGCTAAGATTACAGGTGAGAACCATCAGTACCCTGCAACACAACCTGCTTTATTATGTACTTTGGGGTTTAGAGTTTTCATATATTTCTCTTTTTTCCAAGATAGAGTATGAATTTCTCAAGGCAAAGATGTATGTTTTACATTTTCGTTTCTTTCACAAGGCTAGTATCTGTCCTGGCCAGAATTCCTCCTTATATTTTGTTGTGTTGTAGGTTCTCATACCTTCAAATCTGAAAGCTTGGGGCTCCAATGGAATACTTTAGGACACTCTCCACAAGTACCCAAGTTAACTTATAAAATAGGGCAGTAGAGGGGTAGGTACCTGATCAATTTTGACTTAGTCCTTAAATTAGTCCTCAATTCCTTTCACCAAGTCAGTTAACAATCTAACTTTATATTTCCTTTCTCCCATTTCTTTTCTTTTTTGGGGGTGGGGGGTCCTGTTATGGGGCCTGAACTCTGGGCCTGGACACTGTCCCTTCTTCAGCTCAAGGCTAGCGCTCTACCACTTGAGCCACAGCGCCACTTCCGGCTTTTTCTTTTTGCTTATGTGGTGCTAAGGAATCAAACCCAGGGCCTCAGGCATGCAAGGCAAGTGCTCTACCACTGAGCCACCTTCCCAGCCCTTCCATTTCTTAAACTAGCTCTCTTACCTCTATCTTATCCTAATCTACATCACTACAAGATTCTGTAAGGCACATGACCAGCAGCAACTCACCTTCTTTTAGGAATTTGCCCTTACCTTGTTTGGTAATGACAGGACACAAGCTATAAATATCAGTAGAGAAAATTCAAGCTCAAACATTCATTTTTGGAACAGGAAGCATGGCTCAAAGAGTAAAGCACCAGTGGTAAGTGAAAAAAACAAGTAAAGCTTGAGGCCCTGAGCTCAAGCCCAAGCACATGAAAAACATCATCAGCTTTATCTGATAAAGTAAGATGTAGGGCCATTACTGAGTGAAAAAAATTTTAAACAAGTAAGTCCAGTGGCTGTCAGTGGCTCATGCCTATAATCCTAGCCACTCAGGAGGCTGAGAACTGAGAATTGAGGCTTGAACTCAGCACAGGCAAACAAATCTGAGAAACAAAAACTTGCAAACAGTTGGAAATGGAGGCATGGCTTAAAGTGGTAGAGCACCAGCCAAAAGGGAAAAAGCCAAGCAAGAGCACAAGGCCCAGAGTTCAAGCCTCACTTAAAAAAAAAGTCTGGGCAAGCCGGGCGCCGGTGGCTCACGCCTGTAATCCTAGCTACTCAGGAGGCTAAGATCTGAGGATCGTGGTTCAAAACCAGTCTGGGCAGAAAAGACTGTGAGACTCCTATCTCCAATAGACCAGCAGGAAACCAGAAGTGGCACTGTAGCTCAAGTGGTAGAGCACTAGCCTTGAGCTGAAGAGCGCAGGGACAGCGCCCAAGCCCAGAGTTCAAGCCCCATGACCGACAAAAAAAAAAAAAAAAATCTGGGCAAAAAATTCCTCTGATCATATAAAATAATATTTATCAAAATGAACTCCAGGAAATGGGAAGATGACTTTTTTCTTTTCTTTTTGTCTTGTTTATCTTTCTTTGGGGTGGTAATGGCACAGAAAAGGTAGGACAAAAGGTGAACAAATGCAGTACTCAGTAGACACTATGTTGAAAATTAACTATATAACTTGTGGAACAGGACAGGAAGGAAAAACTAGGGAGGGGTGACAGTTGTCCAAAAAGAAATGTACTTGTTACCTGACTTATGAAATGGTAACCACTCTGTATATCACCTTTATAATAATAAAAATATTTGACTAACCCCGACCTCCCTAAAAAAGAAGAGGTGAAGCCTGGCACTGGTGGCTCACACCTGTAATCCTAGCTATTCAGGAGTCTGAGATCTGAGGATCGTGGTTCAAAGCCAGCCCGGGCAGGAAAGTCCGTGAGACTCTTATCTCTAATAAAACACTCAAAAACCGGAAGTAGCGCTGTGGCTTAAGCAGTAGAGCGCTCGCCTTGAGCTGAAGAGCACAGGGACAGTGCCCAGGCCTAGAGTTCAAGCCCCAGGACCGACCAAAAAAAAAAAAAAAAAGGTGAGAGGACCTGTATCTTCTATAACTAAGAAGAACTTTACTGAGAATTGATTTTATGTCTATTGTTTGGACTTGGTATGGTATATGCTCCCAATGTCAACTCTTTTTCAAAAGGTTCCTTGGGAAGAATTAACCCTTAATGTTCTGAGGATGTTGATTTCAGATAAGAAATCAAGACTTAGAAGACCAAACTCAAGAAATACTGGTTTTCCAATGGCTGGCTATGTCAGGAGAGGGCCATATTTCTCTGAACCACTCTGTGAGGACATGTCTGTCTCTAGTCAAGCATAGTTTACGATACTAAGAGATGCCAGGTGAACTCATTACAGATGACAAAAATATCAAGGAAGCAAGTTTATCAGATTTATCATTTTTATGATTGTGTGACAAGAGACCAAGAAAATCACTCATACATCAACTCCAGTTCCAAAGAATACTGACTTACTTCAGGTGATAGAACTCTACCATTTTTAAGTTTCTCATCCACACTGTTTCTTTGTCTCTGGAGAAGATCCTTTTCTTTCTGAAGAACTTGAACTTGTTCTGAAATCTTTATTTTCTCCTCAGCAGTACTGCTTTCAAACTGCATATTCTTTTCAGACAATTCCTGGTCCAACAAGTTCAGGCGAGTTGATATTTTCAAACTATCAGTGCTTAAGGCCTAAAAAGATACAATCCACCAAATACCCCCAAAACAGTTACGAGAAATCCAGACTGTGTATAAATCAGAAAAAAAAAAAAAAAACAGAGAAAATTACTAAGTGAATGCATTTTTCACTTTTAAATTATTTTCTCCCATAGATTTTTTTGGGGGTTCATTATCAAGATCTTATGTTGAGGCCAGGTGGTGGTGGCTCTCTTCTAAAATGCTAGCTAGTCAAATGGCTGAGACCTAGAGGAACCAGGTTCAAAGTCAGCTCATGCAGTCCATAAGACTCCATCTCTAATTACCCAACCAAATGCCAAACTGGAGGTATGACTCAAGTGGTAAAGTACCAGCTGTGAGCAAGCAAGATGAACAAGTGTATGAGGCATGAGGCATTGAATTCAAGCCCCAGTACAGGAGTACGAGTGTGTGCATATGCGTGTGCACACACACGCGCACACACACACAAAAACTAAGCTGAATGTATTAAAAAATAGATTTAAACTAAGAATTTACTACCAAGAATGCCTTAAGTGAGGTTTTCAGAGATAGTTTTTCTTTTTTATTATTTTCTAAATCGAACAGTCTTTTACCTTAGCTTATTACAAAGAACTGTAATTCCCTAGATGTTGATATTTGCTGTTTTAAACATAAAATTTGGTTTTATCTATACATCATTCTAGTCAGAAAATATTATAGCTTACGCTAAAATATTTTTATCTCAGTCTCTCCCTAGCTATGTGGCCTCCTATAAGACACTTGAGTTTTCTGCTCCTCAGTTTTGATACCTATAAACTGGAAGCAGTAGTGCCTATTCCAGGATTGTTGTGAGGATCTGAAGCGACCATGAATGTCAAAAAGTTTATAGATATGCAACAAGTAGTGTGTGTATACGTTTGTGTCTCTGTACACACAGAGATGTAATGGTACAAAGACTTTAACTCAGGGCCTGGGCCCTGTCCTGTAGCTTTTTTGCCAAAGCTGGCATCTCTAGTTCTTGTTTGGGGGTGGTTAACTGGAGATGAGTCTCATGGACTTTCCTTCCCAACTGGTTCTGAACCATGATCCTCAAATCTCAGCCACCTGAGTAGACTGGATTACAGGCCTGAGCTGCTGGTGCGTAGTAGCAGTAGTTATAAATGTGTGTGTGTGTGTGTGTGTGTGTGTGTGTAGCCATATATTTACTAGCATAAAGTTTATCATTAATAAAGTAGTTCCTTCTCATAACCTTCACCAGAGTCCTACTCCCTAAACAAGCTGCTTCCCATCCTTTTAGATGTTTCTTCTGGTTTTTTGGTCCACATGTCTAAATTTAGATACTGTCCATCATCTGTATATTATAGAGTTTAGCACTCTTATACCTCCCCTTCTCCACTTACCCCCTCCCTACCTTCATTCTCCCAATTTAAGTTCTAGTACAGCTTTTAGTTACATCAGTATTCATTTACACCTTATTAGGACTTTGCAACTATTAGTCATAGCTCATCTACCTAACATAAAATGATCATACTCCAATTCTGGTACCCTATAAGTAAAATAAAACTATAAAATTCCTTCCCACACTTTCTTCTTTTGACCAAATTTATCAGGAAATCTTTTTAATACATTCTTTTCTGAAAACATTCTGCCTGTAGCCTCCATTCTCCTGCTGGATCACATTTTGGGGATCTGAAGTCTTTTTCATAATTCATGTTTTTATTGTGGAGGACATCCTACACTAGTTTCCATCTTCACATTTGATTAAGAGTTTGGCTAAGAGAAGAAATACTAACTGAAAATGTTTCCTCATAAATTTGAAGCTGGCTTCATTTCTTTTACCTCCTAGTGAAGAAAGTTGAAAAGCCCAGTGCCATTCTGATTCTTGAGGTGGATAAGCAACTAGTCTTTTCTACTTAGAAGCTTTCAGAATCTTTTTTTTCCCTTTGTGCACCTAAACCTTCATAATGCTTTGCTTAAGGTATTCATTTTTCTAGATCCTTGAAAATTAGTGCTGAAATTTTTTTTATACTGTGTGTTTCATAATCTCTCCTGCTTCTTTTTTGTTTCTTTCTGGAATTCCTACTATTTAAAAATTGGACTTCCTAGTTTAAAGTATTTTTTATTTTCTTGTGCTTTGCCTTTTAACTTACTGAGCTTTTTTAAACTGTATCCTCTAACCCTTTTAATGTTCAACAGTTCTTTCATGTTTTCATAACTTGTAGTTCTTGTTTGATGGATATAGTAATATCATTTATCACGGATCATCAAGGATACCAAGATCTTTATTGGAAGATTTTTAAGCTCCTAGTTGTCTCTAATTTCTCTAAGTTCCTTTTTCTCTCTGGTGTTTGTCTTTAATGTTAGTGGTATTCCTTTAATATTGGTAACATTGAAGAGTCAGACACAAAATAGTTGGAAAGTTAGCTGACATAGCTATAATCACTTGGGAGGCTGAGGCTGGAGGATCTCAAGTTTGAGGGCACATAACAAAACTGTCTTAAACAAACAAAACCCCCCAAAACTTAATAAGATGGGATGAGTGATGGATGGGTGAGATTAATTAAAATTTATTGTAAATGTGTGGAAATGGAGCAATGAAAGTCCCCCACCCCAAGTAATAACTATTGTAAGCTAATAAAAAGAATGTGTGGTTTTAGATATATATATATGTCATATATATATAATGTCAGATTCCAAAGATGAATCTGAATTGTATGTGTGTGTGAGAAAGAGAGACAAACAGAGAGAGAGAGAGAGAGAGAGAGAGAGAGAGAGAGAGAGAGAGAAGAGAGAGAGAGAGAGAAGAGAGAGAGAGAGAGAGAGAGAGAGGAGAGAGTGAGCAAGCCGGTCCCAGGGTTTGAATTCAGGGCCTGGTCACTGTTCTTTGTGCTTAAGGTTAAGTGCCCTACAACTTTGAGCCACAGTACCAATTTTAGCTTATTGGTAGTTAACTCTGGAGATTTAGAGATAAGATTCTCACAGACTTTCCTGCCTAGGCTGTCTTTGAACTGCAACCCTCAAATCTCAGCCTCCTGAGTAGTTAGGATTACAGGAGTAAGCCACCAACACCCAGCTCCAAGTCTTAAAATCCCTAAGTTTTAAAATCTCTTTTTAGGAATGATTTCAGAAAATTTGCTGATCTTCTACTAGGAAGTACAAATCCACCTTTAAACATCTTTGAATTGGAAATCAGGGTTAGGAACTGGATGGCTTAGAATTCATAGGTATGTTTACATTCATTCTGTGTATTTGACCAATTCTGACCCTCTGATGTACTTATTCAGTTCAATCTTCAAAAAATAAACCACAGTGCCCTGTTTTTATCCTGTGCCTTACTTCTGCCTTCTGAAAATTCTAGCCACCTTACTTCTATCTTTTTGCTGTTCTAGGTGAATTGTAGCTCACTAAAGCCATTATTTTTTTAAGGAATAAAAAAAGCTAAAGCTAAAACCCTTGCTCTTCATTTTTAATATTGTATGTTTCATAATACATTTGTGTCATATAGTCCTCATTTCTGTCTTTCTAGACATGTATTTTAGCTTCGTCTCTTCTGCTAAATCATTAACTTCGATTTGCTTTCCATTTTATAGTTCTTTTTAGTCTTTTGTTCTCTTTCCTTTACTGTTTTCATAGCCTTTTCTTCAATAGGAGTTTTAATGAGATATAATTCATACACCATATAATTAATCTACTTAAGGTATATAAATGAGGTTACATATATTCAGTTATGCTATCAATAAAAACATTTTCATCAATCCTCAAAAAAGAAACACCATCCCTAGTAACAGTAATTCCATTTCCTCCCTAATATCCCATAGCCTAGGCAACCATCATTTACTTTCTGCTCTATGGAATTATGTATTGTGGTCTTAAGCTCAGGAGTCTCATGCCTCAGCCACCTAAGTACTAGGATTACAAGTGTGTGTTACCATGCCAAGGACCAACACTTCTTACTGTTTACTGATTGTAGCCATCCTATTTGAATGTGAAATGGTATTTTGATTTGTATTACTTCAATGGCTATGTTGAACACTGTTTTATGTGTTTATTAGTCACTTCCATATCTTCGTTGAAGAAATCTCTTTTCAGATCCTTTTCCCATTTTTAAATTTTCATTATTTTTTTTGAAGGAAGGTATTACTATATATCCCAGGTTGGCCTTGAACTAACAATCAACTTGTTTGTCCTCCTGAGCTCTGGGATTACAGGCAAGTTTTTATTATTGAGTTATAAGAGTTCTTTCTTTTTTCATTATGTTATTATCTTTAAGTAGTGTACAAAGGAGTTACCATTCAACAAATCAGTTTATAAATACAATTCCATCTTAATCAATGTGTAGGAGTTCTTAATATTTCTGTGTATGTATATATGTGTGTATGTGTATAGCCTCAGTGCTAGGATTTGAACTTGGGGCCATGTGCTTGCTAGACAGGTGCTCTACTTCTTGAGCCACACCTCCAGCCCCCTTTATATATTCTTAGTCCCATATCAAATTATCTGCAAATATTTTCCCTCGTTCTATTCTATAAAGTGGTCTATTTTACTTTCTTGTTAGTGTCCTTTGCATCACAAATATTTTAAATTTTGATATAATACACTTTATTTTTCATTCTTTTATTGTCTGTGCTTTAGGATAATATCTAAGAAATGATCAATTAACATATAAAGTCAAAGATTTATGCCTATGTAAGAGTTTTTTTATTTTAGTTCTTTGCTGTATATCATCCATTTTAGATTAGTTTTAGTTTTTCTTTAAAATTTCTTTTTTTTTCTTTTTAAGGTTTATTTAGTAAGATCTATTTTAGCACTTCAGGGATAAAGTAGGAAGAAATAGAAACATTCTCTGCTCCCCACACAGGATATGGGAGTTAAAGGCTCCTTGTTTGCTTTACTTTCTGAAACAAGGTCTTGCTGTGTAATACAGGCTGATCTTCAACTCATGATCCTTGTTCCTCAGCCTCCAAATCTGAGATAATAGATGTGAGTTACCATGCCTGGCTTGTGTCCAATGTGAGTTTATGTACAATGTAAATAAATTCCTTTTCTGTCATTTTAGTAAGGCAATATGCTTGTGCTAAATCAATTATATTCCTTGTCTGAAATGTATATAATCAGATTTTATAAATATTTCTCAAACATTGGATGACATTTTAAAGCTTTTGTTCCAGAAAGATCCTAATTTCAAGTTTCTCTTGGATAATTAAAAGTTTTTAAAGATCAATTTTCCTTTGCTATTTTGTGATTTCTATTCATTTGTACTCCCTACTTACCTAAAAAGTATACCTCCTTAAAAAGAGAAAACATTTGTTTTCTTTTAGTTTCTTTTCTGTATCATGAAGTAAACTTATTTCAGAGAAAGCATTTTCTTCCTAATGTTTATTCTTTGTTCTGTTTTTCTTTCCATTCATAATATAGAACATATAAAAGTCTGATTTTCTTTTGTTTACTCACATGGGATTTTAATATTTTTTGAGGGATAAATTTTTACATTTGACCCTGACAGCCCATTTTAGCAAGTTATCTGGATGTAGTGCCAGCAACTAGGCTGGTTAGAGTGACCACCCTGACATTATTCAGCGGCCTTTGCTTAAAGCTATTTCAATAGAAATTGGGAAATGGAGGTAAATAAAGGTTCCTATTATTATCAGCATATTATACTGATGTGCAGAGGTTAAGATCACACTATTAACTCAGATCTCACTGGTCATGATGCTGGCTAGATGGCAAGTGTAATAGGAGGGCTCTTCACTGATCCTCTAGTCCATGACTCAATGTGTGGATGACCCAGGACCCAACACTGGCTAGAGGTGAATCATCTTCTTCAAGTTTGAGTAAAACAGCTTCATTTTTAGATGCTGTTGCTGACAAAATGGCTATTCCCACAACCATTTCTTTTTCAAAAATTGAAATTTAGACAAACTTGTCCATAAAATTACATCTTTAACTCACTCCTAAAATGCAACTCATCCAGTAAAACTTTTGTGAAGTTTTAAAACTCTTTATAACTTAAAAACAAGCAAATCATCATTTTACAAATTTTTCTTTCTTTTATAAGAATCCTGCCAATTCCTAACGTTGAGTAGTGGTGATAGCTAGATAGATTTAAAATTCATTCTTCTAAATTATCCATCTTTAAATATAAAGTATCAAATGATACAATTAATTTAAAATACTAAAGTTAATAAGTCTTAATAAAGATTGCATAGGGCTTGGAGGAAAGGAAGTGAGGAGTTACTGCATAATGGTTACAGAGTTTCTATTTGTGTTATCAAAAAGTTTTAAAAATAGATAGTTGTAATAGTTTTACAACACTAGAGATGTAATTAATGCCATTGAATTATTCAATAGAGATTAAAATGGCAAATTTTAGGGTGGGCGAGGCAGGAAGATCTCAAGTTCAAGGCCATACAAATGATAAATATTACATTTTAAAATATTTTGCCACAATAATGAAGTTAATAATCATACCTGAAGAGCACTCACCATTTCACTTAAATAATGGAAATGTTTTGGTGATGGTTGTCTGGTAACAATAAGAAAAATATACCGAGTGGCTGGGAAGGTGGCTCAGTGGTAGAGCACTTGCCTTACATGCTTGAGGCCCTGGGTTCAATTCTCAGCACCACATAAGCAAAAAAGAAAAAAGCCGGAAGTGGCACTGTGACTCAAGTGGTAGAGCGCTAGCCTTGAGCTGAATTGCTGAGGGACAGCGCCCAGGCCCAGAGTTCAGGCCCCACGACCAGACCCCCCCCAAAATATATATATATATACTGAAAATAAGATACTATTTTTTGGCATTACTGGGTAATGAACTCCAGGCCTCATGCTTATTAGGCAAACACTCCACCACTTGAACCTTCCTTGGACTAGCTTTTGGTTTCTAACTTCATAATTATACAATTCACTTTTTAGGGGAAAAAAATCCTAGAACCAGAATTAAATAACAAATTAAATGGAATACCTGACTAGATCTCAACTTCTTACTCTCCAGGTGGCTCTTCTCCTGTAGCAAGGCCTCCTTCTTAGAAACTATGGCTTCCCGTTTCTTTAGGTCTTCTTCCAGCTGTTCTAATTCTTGGCGTTGGTTCAGAACTTTCTCTACTTCCTCATCTAACCATTTCTTTTGCTCATCCAATTTCTATATTAAAATTTCAAAGAAACATAATTTGTTTTTCCTCCTACCATAAAGATTACATGGTGATACTATAATTTTGGACTGGCTAAAACCTCTGAAATAAACATTAAAACAATCAGTAAAAAATAACTCATGTTCCATAAGGTCTGAAGGTTCCATAAGTCTGAAACCATAAGGAGTGGTTCTACTTAACCTGTTGTGTTGCTTTATTAAAAATTAAAATTGATTCCCCAAATATGTTCAAGAGTGTGAAGCATTTCAGCCTGAAAAAAAAAGGAAAGACAAATTTCTCTACCTGTATTAAAGATTCCCAGCATGGGAATTTTGAGAGGTGCGCATCTCCCTCATAATACTTACATGGACAGTTGCTCTACTAGTCTATCATCCCTTAGCTTGAGCTAATCGATTGACTGTAGGAGCTGTGCTTTTTATCTCTCTATCCATAATAGGTGCAGTGTTGCCTGGCCCACAAATGCCACTAAATAAAATGTTAATTGAAGAAGTAAATAAATGCTTAATTCAATCATTAATCAATGGGATAACAACCCAATCTACATTGTAGTTAACTTGTTAGAAGATAAAAAGCTAGAAAGTTGTATTTTGTTAAAGAAACAAGTGTAAACATAAGTACAAATGGAGTATGAACAAATGGAATATGACTTTGATGTACTCTACCAAAAGGACAGAGTGGTATCATAAAGATACTGAAACAATAAACAGAAAAATAAACATATACTATTGTCTAGCTGCTAATTGGCCTGGTAAAAGTAACTCCTACAAGTTAGTACTGTGTCTCAATACCTCAATGAGGTAGTAAAGATGCATGAGATAAAGAGACCAAAGTGGCCAAGGCAACTCACTAGCACAAAGCTAGTGAGTCTAACATACAAGTCTACATACTATGCTCTTATACTGAATTCTAAAATAGAAGCTTGACAATCATTAGGGCAGGAAGAGAGCGTTAACTATTGAAAATAATTTCCATTTGTTTTAGCCTTAGACAGTCTAATACGAGACCTACAAAGTCTGCAATGAAACAAACTCAATTATTCTTCAACTGTGAGTAGAGTTTGAAAGAAGACCTTTGTAAGCTCTGTTCCAACAGGAGAAAAACAAAAACAAAAAAGTAAATCACTGTTAAAACATTTCTGGGTTGGGCTGGGAAGGTGGCTCAGTGGTAGAGTGCTTGCCTTGCATGCTCAAGGCCCTGGGTTCGATTCCTCAGCACCACATAAGCAAAAAGAAAAAAGCTGGAAGTGGCGCTGTGGCTCAAGTGGTAGAGCGCTAGCCTTGAGCTGAAGAGCTGAGGGACAGTGCCCAGGCCCAGAGTTCAGGCCCCACGACCAGATCCCCCCAAAAAAAAAACATTTCTGGGTAAAGGGAGTATGTGTGGGAATACATCCATATCCTGTCACTAATAAGATATATAAAATTTAAGGGAAGTAAAGTTTTCACAATTAAGATAGATGTATTTACATTTGGAGTATAATACAATTTTACACACATTATTTTCCTTAAAGTATTTTCATTTCTTTGAACTTTGAAATTATTTCATGGAATTATGACTTTTTACTTTGCAAATGAAGAACTAAAATAACAGTTCTTTAAAATTTATTATGTATATCCAATTTGGAGCTGTTTGAATGTAAAGCTCTGATTTTTAGAAATACATCTGTGTCCAAACTGCAGTCAGAATAAATAGAAGCTAGTGAACACAGAGTCCACATCTGTATTCCATAACCTTCAAATAAACATATTTCTTTTAAAGTAATAACAAGCAATTTCTGGATCAGAAAATAATTTTTAGTATTAAGGAATATTAAAAATTTTACACATGAGTATTTGAGATTTTATTCAGAATGCACACTTTTGACTTCTAGTTAGACAACCATCAAAAGGAAGAGGAAACAAACACTGCACAGAACTAACAAACCTGGAGTGGTTCTACCTGTCCAAAAAGGCCTTTTCTCCGTTGCAAGTAACATGCGTCAATGTCCTGAGCTTTTAGTTTTAGATCTTCTTCCTGTTTGTTTTTTAACTGGAGCTCCTGTAAAAAAAAATTAAAGACACTTCAGCACTTTTACTACCTGGCTATCATTAATTATGCAGAAAATAGCTTTCATCTCATTTGCTGTTCTTTATTTTGGGTGCTGTAACTTAAACTCAGGGTCTTGAATGTGCTAAGTGCATACCCTACCATTGAGCTATACTCACCACAGCCTGAGAATCAATTTCTTTTAACATTTACTTTTCCTAGCTGCAAAAAGAGAAAATGAGTGGATGAAAAATAGGGCTTTTTGAAAAAATAACTTTAGGCTGGTGATATAGCTAGCTCAGTGATAGAATATTTATTTGCCTAACATGCTAGAGACCCCTAAGTTTGATCATAATAAATTGATTTAAATACCATTTATAAGCCAGGCGTGAGTGGGTCATGCCTGTAATTCCAGCCACTCAGAAGGCTGAGATCTGAGGATCATGATTCAAAGTCATCCTGAGTAGGAAAGTCTGTAAAACTCTATGTCAACCAGCAAAAAAGCCAGGAGTAGAGCTGTGGCTCAAGTGGTAGAGCACTAGTCTTGAGGGGAAAAAGCATCTAGGATCTGAGTTCAAACTTTAGGTCTGACACACATACATATACAAATTTTTTACAGAGTTAGCAATGGGTATACTTGAGTTTATTATAGTAGAAATGCAAAAGAAGTAATATTGACGTTATGGTGCTCACAAATAGTCTACAGCTTTCAATAGCCTTGCAAGACAGATCAAAATTCCATTAATTTGTTTCCATCCACATTTTAAGTGTCAAGAAGCCCAAAGTTCATGGTCCTCCTCTAGAGTTTAGAAGATGCTGCTGTCACTACTAAAGTTTAGCAGGAACCAGACTGAAACAATGGATAAATAGCCCATTTCTGTTAGTGGTCCATGATGGGTAAGTATAAAAACTGAAGGTCTGTGGTTAGACATCAATTTGGCAAGATAATTATATATCTGTTGACTCGTATAATTTAAATAAGACTGTAAACGAGGTGCTTGTGGTTCATACTTGTAATCCTAGCTACTTGGAAGGCTACGATAAAAAAGGATCATAGTTCAAGGCAGCCCCCGCCCCCCACACATGGCCCCATCTCAACCAATAGTCAGTGCAGTTGTATAGTCTGTTATCCTAGCATCTGGGATTCTGAGATTGAGAGGATTACAGTTCCAGACCATCCTGGGCAGAAAATAGACTACATCTCTGCAGAAGATGCTGCATCCTAGCTATGGCAGGAAGTATAAAACAGGAAGACTGCAGTCCAGGCATACATCTGGGCAGGAATTACAACCTTATATCCAAATGTAAAGAAGAGCTGGAGGCATAGCTCATCAGCAGAGTGCCTGCTTAGCAAGTATAAGGCCCTGAGTTAAAAAACCCCAGTTCTCCCAGGAAAGAGGGATGGAAAGGGCAAGAGTGAAGGAAGGGAGGAAGAAAAAGGAGGGAGAGAAGAAAGCAAGGGAAAGGAAAAAGCAGGGGAAGAGAGAAATAAATAAAGGACTTTCACTAGGCAAAGTGGTACCTTTCTATAACCCCAACTATTGGGAGGTTGAGACAGGAAGAGCACAAGTTTTCAGGGAGTGTGGCCAACACAGTGAGACCCTGTCTCAAAAGAAAACAGACTTTCATTTGTATATTTCAATTTGGGGGGGCCAGTACTAAGATCTTGAACTCGGGGTCTTGTGATTCTTAGGCAAGTGTTACACTGCTGAGCTATGCTGCCAGCTCTGTTTTGTAGTGGTTATTTTCAAAATAGGATCCTATTTTCTTCCTGGGCACATACCTGGACCATGATCTACTTGCTTTAGGAGTCCTGTAGTTGCTCAGACAATAGGCATGTGCCACCACATCCAGTTTCCCGTCATAGAGATTCCCTTCATGGATTGCCTGAGCTGTCCTGGAACCTTGATCTTCCCAATTTCAGCCTCCCATGTAGCTTAGGATGATAGACACATGGCACTATAACCAGCTCTGGGTTAAGAGGGGGTTTGCAAATATTCTGCTCAGTGTGGCCTCAAACCATGATTCTCCTATTCTCAACTTCCCAAGTAACTAGGATTGCAGACAAGAGCTACCTATGCCTGGATTATTTTTCTACTAATAAATACTTTATAATAAAGTATTGAGCTGTGAATTGTAATAAATGGAAACTGTTCCTTCTCCACAGGTAATTTCAGTAGCACTAGAAGAACAGAAATAAAAGATTAGAGCTTTCCAGCCCTCATAATGGAAGAAAGAAAAATAAAATATTAAAGACTTGTGTTCCAAGTGTCTTTGAGTTTTGTTTTGTTTTGTTTTTTTTTTGTCGGTCGTGGGGCCTGAACTCTGGGCCTGGGCACTGTCCCTCAGCTCTTCAGCTCAAGGCTAGCGCTCTACCACTTGAGCCACAGCACCACTTCTGGCTTTTTTCTTTTTGCTTATGTGGTGCTGAGGAATTGAACCCAGGGCCTCATGCATGCAAGGCAAGCGCTCTAGCACTGAGCCACCTTCCCAGCCCCTTTGAGTTTTGACTCAGAAAAAGGAACAAGAGAAGAAAGGACCCCACCCCATCTGAGAGAGAAAACATAATACATGCAGAGACCCCCAAACCTACAGGGATTGCCTAGACTCACAGAAAAGAGTAAAGGTACTGTTAGGGAAGAGGGACTAATTAGATAACTTGGTCTCATACAGCATGGATCCTGAGTCAAGGGGCCAATATGGGCCAGTCATTGTAAGGAATAGGACCTCAAACTGAGAGTAGGAGAGACCACTGGGCTAGCAGCTAGACAGAAAACTCAGTCATCTCAACACAAGTTTACAATGCTACAGAAGCAAATGGAGTAAAGATGAAACTAAAGTATCCACATTCTGAAAAAGGCAGGCAGACCAGCCCATATGTTTTTCTAGCCATGGCTGTATCACCATGAGTCACAGGCTAGGCAAGGAATGGTGGACAAGAGAGAGCAGATTCTAGCCAATCATGTCCTTCAAATCTATGGGATGTAGTGAAGAAAGCTACAGACTCAACCACCACATAAACTAGATGCCATCTTGAAGATAGGAGTAGAGGGAAGAAGAGGCTAAGAGACTGGGTATTCTTATTTAAGAGACTTAAGAATTCTTCAGAGGAAATAATTACATTTTCAGGATAAGGTATAAACAAGATATTAGGTTAGTTCCCTTATTCTGGCAAATATCATCACATAGTAGGAGAGAGATGTGCTCACAAGGATCACCAGTCTGTTAGAGGCTAAATTAGTTTTCTGTGCCCATCTGAGTTGCATTATGAGAGACTTTGGACCAGATTTTTATTTTGCCTCCCATTAGTTTTCCCTAATCCATTGTTTCTCTTATCCAATGCTATAATTGAGCTTGTTACCCCCGTCAAGAATATCAGCAATTAAAGTAGCAGGTTATAAAATTAACCCCCAAAAATCAATGGCTTTTCTGTATGCCAACAATGAGAAAAGTGTGGCTGAAATTAGGAAAGCAACTCCATTTGTAATAGCCCCACAAAAAATAAAATACCTAGGAATTAACTAAAGAAGTGAAGGACCTCTATGAGGAAAACTTTAAAATCTTGAAAAAGGAAATCAACACAGAACTTAAAAAATGGCAAAACCTCCCATGCTCCTGGATTAGAAAGATTAACATCATGAAAATGGCAATACTTCCCAAGGCTATCTACAAATTCAACGCAATACCTATCAAAATTCCACCCTCATTCTTCAAGGAAATAGAAGAGGCAATCCAAAAATTCATATGGAACAATAAAAGACCCCGAATAGCAAAAACGCTCCTCAACGGAAAGAACACTGCTGGAGGAATATCAATACCAAATTTCAAACTCTACTATAAAGCCATAGTAATCAAAACAGCTTGGTATTGGCATAAGAACAGACCTCAGGACCAATGGAATAGAATTGAAAACCCAGAAATGAACCTACAGACCTATAGCCATCTCATCTTCCATAAGGGAGCTAAAACAATAGAATGGAAGACAGACAGCCCCTTCAGTAAATGGTGCTGGCAAAACTGGTTAACTACATGTAGAAAACTTAAGCTAGATCCTTATATATCACCCTGCACCAGAATCAACTCCAAATGGATCAAAGACCTTGAACTCAAAGCAGACACTCTGAAAACATTACAGGATGGAATAGGAGAAACCCTGGGTCTCCTTGGCTCAGGACGAAATTTTCTGAATAGAGACCCGGAAATACAACAAATCAAAGAAAGGTTGGACAAATGGGATTGCATAAGGTTGCAGAGCTTCTGCAGGGCAAATGACATAGCTAGCAAGATCAACAGAAAGCCCACGGATTGGGAGAAGATCTTTACTAGCCATACAACGGACAAGGGTCTCATATCTAAAATATACTTGGAACTCAAAAAATTAAACCACCCAACAACAAATCCTCAAAGAAACAACTGCCCAATAAGTAAGTGGGCAAAAGACTTAAAGAGAAGCTTCTCTGAAGAAGAAAGAAGGATGGCCAATAGACACATGAAGAAATGTTCAACATCCCTAGCCATAAAAGAAATGCAAATCAAAACAACATTGAGATACCACCTCACTCCAGTTAGAACAGCAAAAATCAAGAACTCTAACAACAACAGATGCTGGAGGGGATGTGGACAGAAAGGAACCTTACTTCATTGTTGGTGGGAGTGTAAACTTGTTCAACCACTTTGGAAAGCAGTATGGAGGTTCCTCAAAAGACTTCACAAAGAACTCCCCTATGACCCAGCAATCCCACTTTTGGGCATTTACCCTAATGTTTACAAACAAGACCACACTAAAGCTACCAGCACAACTATGTTTATTGCAGCATTATTTACCATAGCTAAGATATGGAACCAACCCAGATGCCCCTCAGTAGATGAATGGATCAAGAAAATGTGGTATATATACACAATGGAATTCTATGCCTCCATCAGAAAGAATGACATTTCCCCATTTGTTAGGAAATGGAAAGGCTTGGAAAAAATTATATTAAGTGAAGTAAGCCAGGCCCAAAGAAACATAG